AAAATACATTGACTATAAATAATTCGTGAATTATTTAAAACTTATAAAAAATCTTTTAAATTTCAAATCAAATACACATATTTTATTAGAAAAACCCATTTTGGAAAAGCACTTCATTATAAATGATCATTTTAAGAATTAATTCTAAATTTAGCGGATAAAAAATACCAAAATATCCTCAATTAATCCTCATTTGAGTAATATTATTTACAAAGGACTATGTTGAAAATAAATCTCAATTATAGAGCCACATGGGTAATTAAAATTTAATGAGTACTTATTTAAGAAGACACATTAATATAAATTACTCCCTCTGTTTCTTAAAATTCTTTTTCTTTCATTTTTTTTCTTAAATTACTTCCCTTTTCTATTACAAAACCACTTTTACCCATACTTTTTCATACCCTATCTATCACATCATACTTTTTCACTAATAACTAAACTATCACATCTTACTTTTACCCATCACATCAAAGGAAAAATTGGAAAGTCAACTAAAATTATACTTTCCTTATTTTTTTCTAAAATCAAAAGAGGAACCGTTTTGAGAAACAGATGGAGTATTATTTTGGGAATTTATTAAAAAAACACAATCATACGGCTAAGAACTAAGCGCGGTTTCTCTCAATCATGTCTGTCCTGTCAAACCAAACACCCAAAACTCCCACTAAAGATGTTATGACTATTATTATTAGGAAAATGCTTGGTGTACCTCATTTGTCCCTCACCCCCTCCATTACCCCTAGCATGACCGTTATTATTATGACTATTATTACTATTGTTATTAGTATTATGATTATAATTCTTATTACTTTTGTTATTATTATTGCTATATTTATTACTATTACTACTATTATCAATAATATAAAATTATTATTATTATTACTATTATTATTACTATTAATATTATTATTATTATTATTATTTCTATTATTATTACAATTATTACAATTATAATAATGATTTTAATTTTAATTTTGATTTAAATCAAGTTTATATTAGATCAGATCCAATCAGATCAGATTAGACTATATCAAATCAGATCCAACCAGATCAAATCATCAAAACTTTAAAAATCAGATCAGATCTGTTAGACAATAATACCAATAGTACTTCTTGTAGTATTGGTTATGGTAGTGTTTCATTATCAGTCAGCTTCCTAATCCTATTTGTGGTAGATGTTGTATGTTAGTTAGTTTCCATTCTCTATTCCTAGTTGTGTTAGGAGTCTCTCCTATATATACTCTATCATGTACTTCATAATTCAATGACCAATATTACTATTCCAATATTTCAACATGGTATCAGAGCTACCGCTCTTGGTGACCTAAAAAAAAAGTTCTTTGCTCCCGCCGCCGCCGGTAATTCCGGCGATGGCGGCTCCACCCTAATCACCTCTATTTTCTTTTCCTTCTTTATCCTCAAATCAACTTCTCTACTCAAATGAAAAAAAAAGAAAAAAAAAACCCTTGTTGAAATCACACAAAAAAAATATCAAAGGAGGAACTTCTCTCTTGTCATCTCCATGGTTCTTAAAAAAAACCTAACTCCTCACAAACTCTTTCAGATCATCCTATCTTCTCAAAAAAAGAAAAAAAAATTGTTGTTTCTTTCCAATTCACCATATCAAAATCTCTGGCCCAAATTTTTTTTTCCCTCACCAATTCTTAACCTATTTTTTCTCTGAAATCACTCATTGTAATCATCAACCTCTCTTCTCATTCTCTTCTATTGAACCAATAAAAAAACCAAAGTAAATCAGCACAAAAGCAAAGCCAAAAGACGACTAAATCAAGAATAATTATCTTGGGTTTAAAGATGTTAAAAAATAAAAAATGATGTTTTTTTACAAAAACAAAATTTCATTAACGCATCAAAAACACACAAACGCAGGAGGAGTAGACAGAAGCAAAAAAAACTTGGCCAACAGGGCCTTGCACTCATCAATTACAGAACCAAAGTATGACAAAGCTCACATGTAATATAGTATCTCTCTTTCTCAAAAGAGTTCTTCTTTTGACTTTGGAGGAAAATAAGGAAGTGTTAAATTGTAGTTGGCTTTCCAATTTTGCCCTTGATGTGATGGGTAAAAGTAAGATGTGATAGTTTAGTTGTTAGTGAAAAAAGTATGATTTGATAGGTAGGGTATGAAAAAAGAGGGGTAAAAGTGGTTTTTTAATAGAAAGGGGAAATGTTTTAAGAAAAACAAAAAAAATGAAAGAAGAAGGGTTTTAAGAAATAGAGGGAGTATGACTTTAGATGAGTTCATACTTGCACGGAATGAGTGTGTGATTAATGCATATTTGAATGTGGCAGAGAAGAGCTATTGGTGTTATATTTTTTAAAAGTTCAGGGAGCATTAATACAAGTTTTAAAGTTAAGGGAGAATACTTAAAATTTGTGAAAAGTTCAAAGGTAAATGACACAAAAAAAAAACTCAAAATTTTAAGAAATGAAATTTGAAATAAAGGCTAAATATTTGGAAGCATGGTTGTGTGTGAATAAGGAATAGGAATGATGTGTGTAGGGCTGTAAATGCTGATGAGCATATTCCATTTATAATATGCAAAATGGAATTTAATTTCCACATCCATTTGTTTGTGTGAAAAAAATTCCCATTCCTCTCAAAAGTGTAAACGTTCAAACTATGTGAATGTGGACTTGTCAAGAAATTCACAACTTTCTTTTTTTAAATGGTAAACCAAGAAAGGAAATCAAGAAAGGAAAAAAAAAGAATGAAAAAAGTACAAAAGGATTTCCATTGTTTTATGGTCTCTAGCTAGTGAAAGTGCTCATCCAATTCACTCCCACTTTGCTTTTCACAAATTGGACTGTAATCTTTTCCCATTAAACAAAATCTTATTCTCTTTCCGTACATTCTAAAAGAATTACTACGTACTATGTTACAATTCTCTCCATTTATTAAAATCTTTCTTCTTTCATTTTTTCACTTTCACCCAAATTCTTTTTTTATTATTAAAATGACTTATAAGTCCTGATGGTGTAAATTACTTGGCCGGTCAAACTATACTAGACCGGGTCTAGAATAGTTTGCTTGATTTGGTAGAGTAAGAAAGGTAAAAACTCGTAGATTGACCGGTAGGACTTTAGGTGGAACACCTGTAGCCCAATTTTTATTATAACGGAGAATGCACGGATGCTTTTACAAGGGAGTTAGAGAGAATGAATTCGGATCCCTCTTTCTGAGGTTTACACGAGTATTTATACTAGGCTAGGGGGGACAGGACCACGTGCGCCCACGTGGGGGCACGATGCTGATGTGGTGCGAGGTGACTGGTTTCGTCCTTGAGCTGCCTTGTCGCCTTGTGAGGGGGATTATTCCCTTTGTCGAGTAGTGCCTTGGATGGATTCTTCAGCATCTCCAGTTGTCCTCTACTGACACGGGTCGCTACACGCCAAGTCCTTGTAGATTCTCTTCTGCCGACACTTTCAAACCCTAGAAACTACACCGGGTAATCTCCGTGGGATGAAATCATCGAAGTTTAGGGGAAAATAGGGGGACAAAGTAGTTTGACCGGTATACTTTTTCGTGAAGTATACCGGTCATCTTTTGGCCGATTATATACCGTTTTGCTGACGATTTAAGTCTCCCTTTCAAAACTTTCGAGATTGACCGGTCAACTAATTGGTCTTCTTCTTTGATCGGTCGTGGGTGGAATACACCCATCAAGTCCAAATAAAGTCATTATAGTATAATTCATCCAGGAACTGTTTTGCAATTTGATTTACGAGTATTTAGAAAGTTAAAATATAAAAATAAATCCTGTAAAAGTCAGACAAGAATTATTTTGGTGAATGGAGGGAGTGCATATTGTTTCTCGAAATAGTAAAGATCTTTATCGCAGAATTATTTAAATAGCAGAAAGTACTCCATATATATGGAGTACTTTCTATTATTTAAATAAATAGGAGAAAAGTTTATCATGTACAAAAAAATGTAAAAAATCTTGTGTGTCACATACGGAGTATTTATTTTTTTTAAAAAAAAAAAGAACATTGGAAAGTTAATTTTGTAAGAAAGAAATTGAACAAAAGTGAGAAATCACCTTAGAGGGAGTATGATTCTTATGGAGGAGCACCAATTAAATAAAAAGTAAAGTAAATAAAAAAAAGCCACAAGAGGTCAAATTGGGTACACGTCAGTCCATCTTCTCAACACATGGAGCCACCAGCTCTCACCCAAACCTCTATTTTTACTTTTTTTTTTAAAAAAAAAAACTATTCAGTTGACTTGTAACAAAGTTTACGAAAATTAAATAAAAATCTATAAAAGTAATGCAGAGTAAATATAAACTTTGTGAGTCACTCGAAATTTTTTAGGACATTCTAAAAAGGAAATTTTCTTGTGAAAGAGAAGTGTTTTAGACTTTATCCCAAGAATTTCAGAGAAGATAAACTTATATTTAGGATAATCTTAGTGATACATCAAAATGGGATATATACCTCATTTTTATGCACGGCTTTCACAGACAGGCACAGATACATAATGTCGTCGTTTGTGCATTTTGGTGTATCCCTAGTTTAATTTTTATACTTATTCATCCCTCGAATTCATCTTTTCATTCCAAAATGTTTGCCACATTTCCTTTTTCAACGATCACATGAGCTTTTGTTTATTTGTACGTTTTCATTGATTATTTGATAAAATAAAATATTATTGACATCACTTATTTCCAAAAAAAAATTCATGTGGTTTTGAATATGTAAATTTTATTTTTTATTTTTATACCAATATTCAAATAGAATTGATTGAAATTTTTTTTGATATTTTGGCTCGCTTTTCGAAATGTGGTAAATATTTGGGGACGGAGGGAATAATTCCTCGTAAACATCTACCTATGGCTATAACCAATTAACAAAGAGTAATCATATTCTCTTTAAGAAAAGAAAAAAATAAAAGTAAAAGAGTCATGTTAGTCAATTGTTCATAGTGATTGATCTTGTCTGATTAATTTTACTGGTTCCTCATACCATAGTGAGCACCTCATACCTCTCTCTCTCTATTTATTCCCAATAAATGAAGGAACCTCATTTCTCTTCACCCCTCCCCACTTCTTCTCTACCAAGCAACTTCATTCATCATCTATCATTTCCTTTGCTACTCACAATCATTTAATTCATTTCAGTTTTTTTCTTTCAATATTATTATTATTATCATCATTTAAACTCATATATTCCCATCCATTATATTCTTGGTTTTATATATTTCCATTCTGCATTTAAGAACCAAATAAAACACTTTCATTTGAAGAAAACAGAAACAAAAAAAAATGGGGGTTGTTCTTGAGCTTCTTCTTGTAGGAGTTCTGGCTATGTTGCCGCCACCGGCCCTCGGGTACGGTGGCTGGAGCAGAGCCCGAGCCACGTTCTACGGCGGCGGGGATGCTTCCGGAACAATGGGTATGTGTTTTCATGTCATTAATTTAATACAAAGTCACACTTTTTTTCATCTTTTACATTAGAATTGATCAGAAAAATATAAGACAGTGTGTGTGTGTGTTGTATTTTGGCCAAGATTTAATTTTGATTGCACCTTCTCTTGTAGGTGGAGCATGTGGATATGGAAACTTGTACAGCTCGGGCTATGGTACAAACACGGCAGCTTTGAGCACTGCCCTGTTTAACAACGGCCTGAGCTGTGGGTCGTGCTTCCAGATAATGTGTGTCAATGACCGGTCGTGTGTTCGAGGAATCATCACCGTCACCGCCACCAACTTCTGCCCCCCGGGCGGTTGGTGCGAGCCTCCGAACCCGCATTTTGATCTCTCTCAGCCCGTTTTTCTAAGAATTGCGCAATACAATGCCGGAGTCGTTCCTGTCTCTTACAGAAGGTAAAAACTCATGAGTCGATTAAATCTTGAAATATACTCCCTCCGTCCCGTGAAACCTTTCCCCTTTCTTTTTTTATCCGTCCCACAAAACACTTCTCATTTCTATTAAAAAGTCACTTTTACCCCTTACTTTTTCATACCCTAACTATCACATCATACCTTTTTACTAATAATCTATCCATCAAATCATACTTTTACCCATCACATCAAAGGATATTTTTGGAAATTCAATACCAAAATACACTACCTTAAATCCCTCATAAAAAGCAAATGTCCCATGTTTCAGGGGACGGAGGGAGTACTTTTTTTGGTGCTTAAGTATTTGCCCACTTTTAATTCTTTTCGTCAAAATTGGTAAATTTTGATCTCAAATTAAATAACAGTGATATTAAATATTGATACAAATTTAATTTTATTAAATATATTACTCCGTATATAAAATATTTTAAAAATATTTTTTTACGTAATTAATTACAATATATATTTTATTTAATTATACGTCAAAAGTTAAAAATGATTGATTCAGAAAGTTAAAACAAGACAAATTCTCAGAACGGAGGTAGTATATGTCGTATATATCGGTTGATATATGTTACTATATATTCGACGCGGAACTTTAATTATATCGTCGAAATTGGTAAATATTTTTGTAGGGTACCCTGCATGAGAAGGGGAGGGATAAGGTTCACGGTGAACGGGCACGCGTTCTTCAACCTAGTCTTGGTGACGAACGTTGGAGGGTCGGGAGACGTGCATGCGGTGTACATAAAGGGGTCGAGAACCGGGTGGCAAATGATGTCAAGAAATTGGGGCCAGAATTGGCAGAGCAATGCCAACCTCAACGGCCAAAGCCTCTCTTTCAGGGTGGTTACGGGCGACGGCCGCAGCCTCGTGTCCTACAATGTCGCCCCTCCGTCTTGGTCCTTCGGCCTGACCTACACCGGCCGCCAGTTCCGCCCCTAGGACATATCATATCCTACCTGCCCTTATTCATATGGTCACAAGGAATTGAAGAAGCTAAGTATCCTAGCTTAAATGGGTTTTCTGTTTTTGTTTTTTGTTGCAAAAAAAAAAGAAGAAGGAATGGTTTTGAAATGGTCCTTTTACTCTTTTAGCCATGCTAAAAAGGCCATTTATTTGACCACATGAAAATTCATGCTTATTATTATTATTATTATTAATTGTGCAGACATATAATAATGTATCTGCAAATTAAAGGTGTGGAAGAGAAAATGTTTTTTTTAAAAAAAATAATGGTTTGTGATTAGGATAGGATTAATTAAGGGCAAAGAGGTAATTAGTGGTGAATGAAAGTGGAGGGTGGAGTACTATAGCTTTGTACTTGTAGATGATGAGCAAGGCATTGTGAAGGCATGAGAAAATTAAAATTGCCTTCCACCTTATTTATTCAGATTTGTAATTCTGATAACCCCACAAAATAATAAATAATGTCCATCCTTGTAATTGTAATTTGTATTATTGTAATGGAAAATAATGTTAAAATTATTGTAATGCATCCCCATAATTCAAAATGTATGCTTTTATTTTGTTCTTTTTTATATTTTATTTAGCCATAAGTATTAGGGAGTTGATCACACAATTAAACTGAATAATCCCGTCAAGAATCTTGTAGTCCAATGACATCGCTACGACTCTCTCAAAATAAAAGTCACTATTCAATCCTCGGACGGTAACTTTATGAGTTTTAATAGATTGAAAATATATGAAGAGATACTACATTATAATAAAGTTAGTCGTTTTCAAATAAAAAAAATGAATACTCCCTATATCATTGAGTAGAGTAGTTTGGGTTTTGGACATTAACAGGCCCAGCCTTAGTTACAGACAAACGTGGCCCAATAATTTCTTACCCGTCATGAATTTTGGACATGTTGATGGACATATGCTAAAATTGATATCTTTAGTGTTTTAGGGACAATAATTTCTCACCAATGATTATTTCCGTGCAAAAATAGTCTGACGGTGTCAATCTGGGTGTCTAAATCGGTGGGTTTTCGTTCCTGACCGAATTAATCGATTAAAAGTTGAAACAGTCGGACGGAGTATACATTAAAAAAATGTAAAATTTGTTTTCGAGGTACACTGATATTTCCCCCATTTTAGTTGAGAATTTGTAATGAAATAAAACAATTAAAATTGACATATTAAAAAAATGAACATATTTTTTTAAAAAAAAGTAGTGACAACCACAATATAATAACAATACGGAGTATATTTTTTTTTGTAATATCTTACAAAAAAGGGTCTGGGGATACGAAAAAAGTTGTGAAATAAGTATGTTATTAATTATTTAATAACATTTCAAATAAAAAAAAAATAAAAGAAATGTTGTCCTAGTATAATAATTGAAAATTTTATTATTTAAGGAGGAATATAATGGTGGGTGGAATTGAAGAAAGCTGCCGACAGTTATTGAAGTCACAAAAAACACTAATCTTTGTACGGACGCACGTAGATAAACATTAACATTAATTCATTGAGTTGTTTTTAAACATTTACAATGATTCCAAAATCCGTCTTTCCGTTTCCTTTACATATTTATCATTTTTAATTTAAAACTTATATAAATTTAATATAAATATTTATTTATTAATAAAATTGGTAAATTATAATAAATAAAGTAAAAGTAATAAATTCAAAAATTAACAAAAATAAAGAAAAATATTAGCATTAACTAAATACTCCCTCCGTCTCGAAAAACATGGAAGTTTTGATTTTGAAGAGAGATTTAAGTAGAGTGTATTTTGATATTGAATTTCCAAAAATGACCTTTGATATAATGGGTAAAAGTATGATTTGATGGATAGATTATTAGTAAAAAAGGTACGATGTGATAGGTAGGGTATGAAAAAGTAAGGGGTAAAAGTGACTTTTTAATAGAAATGAGAAGTATTTTTTGGGACGGATGAAAAAAGAAAGGAGAAATATTTTCAGGGACGGAGGGAGTATTAATTATTGAAATTAAAAAAAATAAAATTAAAAGAAAAAAAGTCGAAGAAGAAAATGGATCGGGAGAAAAATAAGAAAACATGGTACGATATCAATACACTAAGGTCATAAAATGAGTATAAACTTATGGCCACAACAATTTGTTGAAATTTCATAAACATGGTCCGGTCTCGTTTTTCTGGAGTAGTGATTTTGTTCACCCAAGGTCCACGTCTAATTCCTGGTCTTCTCACAAAAGTTGTCGGATTTAGAAGCTAATGTAGAAAAAAACCCGTTCCACCAAAGCTAATGTGCCAAATCTTAATGTCAATTATAATTCTTATCTTAATCCTAATACTAATATTTTGAAGTCTACATCAACAACGTCCATATAATAATATTCATCCTTGTAATTGTAATTTAAATTATCGTAATGGAAAATTATTTTATAGTTTTGATTGCAAAAAATAAAAATTGAACAAATACTCAGAGACGAAAATATTTATATGTTTTTCTATTTATTATCAACTTTAATTTTAAGTTGCACCTACATTAAAATAATCAAATAAGGGATCCTAATTTTACGATCACCCAAGGCCCAATAGATAATTGAGCCGGGCCGGATGCTCATCGTACGATACATCCAGATCTAACTTTAAAAAACATATTTTTACGATCTTTATTTCAACACTTTGACTATTAGTTTTTCTATTTATATATAAATATACTATTTCTGTCTTTAAGAATTGGTCCAGTTTTGACTTTTTTCAATTAACCATTTTTAATTTTTGATTTATAATTAGATAAAATATATATTTATATTAATTAGATAAAATAATATTTTGAAAAATATTTTATAAAAAGTATCTAATTAAATTATTTTTGTTTAATTTGTGGTCAAAGATTGTCAATTTTGACCGAATTGAGTCAAAAATGGACAACTACTCAAAGACGGTGGGAGTATATTATAAAAAAAATATTTTAAAACAATATTTCAAAATGAATCGATTGATATTAAACTTATATGAAAATTCAATTTTTTTCTGTAATATACCGTCAAAGATTAAAACATTTAATCATGAAAATTAATGTGAGAAGTTAATTTTAAGACTATTCCAAGCTAATGATGAGTAAATGGGATTAAATTCATTAAACATTTGATACGTGCATGCACCGGTTGAGTTTAGTGGTTGACAGATGTTATTCCAAATTTCCAAGTTTTTTTTAGGCTTTTAGCTTTGCATAAAAGTTGTACTGCGTGTTGACTTTTGGCATATATGGAGGACTACATGAATTCCCTCCCAAAGGATCATGCTACACTTACACTAACAAATATACCTCATTTGTATATCACAGGTTTACATAAACATTTCGATGGTTTACACCGACACAATTATTGGTGCGTTAATAAAAATTCACACGGACACAAATGTTGGTGCGTTTAACAAAAATTAGTTTTACACCAACACAAAATGTTGGTGCAAAACTGCGGGGTATAAATTGGGGTACAAATCTTGGGATACACATAGCATTATCCATTCCCAAAACCCTTGTGGATTTTATTTTGCATACTACATTACTCTCCTCTCTCTCTTTGTCTAGTTTTAATATTTTAGAGAAGTACACAAATTCCCACAATGGCATTTGATTCGATTTTTCATACTACGAAATACTTCTCTATTGTCTTTGAATATTTGTCAAATTTTGATTTCTAAAATTAGTTGTTTTCAATCGTTGACGTTAAGACTCCATTTATTATACAGAATTTGATTTGAAATTCTATAAAATCAAGTTGAGTTGAATTAAGATCTAATTCAATCTCAAATTCATTGTTTGGTATAATTAATGAGTTCATTACAAATAGAATTGATATAGGTTTGTATTTTGGACTTTTAGTTGTTAATAGTTGCTTTTGTTTTCGTCATCTGTTCATAATGAGAGATGAGTTTAGCCAGTTTCACTAATAGGATGTGTTTGCGGAATTTAATACTCCCTCCGTCCTATAATGATCTTTCCGATTCACAAAACGAAGAAAAATCCTAAGTTTTTTCAATCTATTTTATTTTAATATTGGTATAGAAATAAAAAATAAAACATACATATTTAAAAATTACACCAAAAGTTCAACAAAACAAGTGGTGACAAGAATATTTTATTTTATCATATAGGCCATGAAAAAACACAAATAAATATAAATTCTCGTGAAGTTGGAACAGTGCTCTGGGAAGATCATTATAGGACGGAGGGAGTATTTTTCATTTTTATTTTAATTTTTAAGTTTTAATTTTAAAATTCATAATTTATAATTTTAATATTATTAATTATTCATTTTTAATTTAAATTTTAAAATATTAAGTTCTAATTATTAAAATTTTAAGTGTTGATTTAATTTTTTAAACTCTAGACTCAACATCAATTTTCTAAATATATTTTTTTTAGTTGAAATTTTAAAATTTATAATTTTTAAATTTTTAATTTTTAATTAATAATATTGAGTTTTTACATTTAAATTTTCAATTTTTACTTTTTAAATTTGAAATTTTGAATTTTTAATATAAACTCCATAATTTTAATTTAAATTTTAAAATTTTAAACTTTAAAATTTTTTTTTAAGTTGATTATTTTTAGTTTTAAATTTTATATTTGATATTTTAGATTTATAATATTTAATTTTTTATTTTGAATTCATAATTTCAAGTTTTCAATGTTAAATTTTAAATTCAAAATTTCAATATTTAATATTTACTTTTTACTTTAAATTTTTTATTTTTTTAATTTATAATTTTGAATTTCTCAATTTTAATTTTTTAATTTTAATTTTAAATTTTAAATTTATATTTAAAGTTTTTAAACTTAAATTTTAAATTTTTGAATTCAAATAACTAGTTTTTAAATTTAAGTTTTGTATTTTAAACTTATATTTATATTTTTAATTTTTAAATTTTTAAATTTTAGTTTATACTATCTCCATCCCAGTGTATTTGTCTAGTTTGACTTTTTCGAGTCAAACTAGACAAACTTTGAACTCCAAATATTCTTAATTTATATTGCATATTAGCATAATGAAATATAATTTTGAAAGTTCTCAATACGATAAATCCAATAAAGTCATTTTTATGTTAAAACACATTACGATTTTTATTTAATTGAAGCTCCAAGTTTGTCCAGTTTGACTCGAAAAAGTCAAACAGGACAAATACACTAGGACGGATGGAGTAATTCTTAATTTGGCTTTTTTTTATGATTAGTCAAAGAAATCAAAGTTTGTGAGAGAAGTCAATAGCTAGCCGAAAAGCTATTTTCACAATGCACCGAAAGTCTATAAGAGCATCTCCAACCATGCTTGTTATTTTAATTTGCTATTTTTACATTATAGCAAGTGAATAGTGATATAGCAAGTACTTTTTTGCTTTATTTTCCAACCATAATTTGTCATTTTAATTTTTAAGTATTGGCTAGCTAAATTTTGAGGGACTTGTCATATTTAGCAAACCAAAGTTATTTTTTGGCAAACTTGCTAAAATAAAGCATGCCCTTTGGAGAAGAACAAAAGCGTTTAACTAGTTATATTATA